TTTTGATGAACATTTCCTTTCCCTCATTTCTCCTCCTCCTAAACCTCTAGCTACCACCTGCCTACTCCCTTGGTTCCCTAAGAATACCAGCCCAGGCAATTAGGGCAGCAAAGAAATAAAAGGTATCTGTACAGGAAAGGAGGAAGTGGAATCTTTGCTGAGCACATGTTCTTATTTCTAGAAACCCCCAGAGACAATGGACACACCCACTTGCCCTGACCCCTGAACTGATAAACAAATTCATGTAAGCTGCAGGTTACAAAATCAACATATGAAAACCAGTAACATTTCTACATACTGACAGTAAACTATCCAAAGAACATAAGGAAACAATCTCATTTACATTAACATGCAAAATATTTAGGAATAAATTCAACCAATGAAATGAAAGATCCATATCCTAAAAACTGTAAAACGTTGATGAAAAATGGAAAAATGAGTTGTCCTGAAGGAGCTGGACAGGAAAGTGCCATCCCCTCTGCTCTGAGGCCTGGTGACTCTGCACTTCACCCGTGGACCCGCGCCGAGCAGCCCAGCTCAGAAATTCACCGTTCTGAAAAGTAATCAGGTGCAAAGCCCCAGAGGGTGATTAGAGCCGAGAGGAGGTTCTCGTGTACCAAGATGGAACCGAAGTCCAGCCCACCTGTGTCCTGCTCCGTGCCCTGGGGCCTGTGACTTTGAGAGCGTAGTTGTGTCCTTTTCTCAGGAGGAGCGGGCTCCTTGAGGCTCAGAGAATTCTGTCCCACGCCATGACGCTGGCGGGCGGATACTCTTGCTGCCTCGTCAGGACTTGTGTCTTCTGGGTCCCGGGCAGGTGTCCAGCTGGAGCTGGAGGACCCTGGGTATGTGACAGAGTGGACGTGACTCCAGGCAAGGGGAGGGGGCCTCACAGTGGGCCTGGCCCTGGTGCTGGCATCGGGGAGGAAGTGATACCACAGCTGGGTCACATTGTTTCAGGAACAGGTTCTGTGCCCAGCGCTGTTTGGTGCCAATGCCAGAGGCTGTGCACCCCTTTTCCATCTCGTCTCCCCATTCTTGCCACGGTCCTCCTGTCATTTCTATGCTGGCTTCTGACCCAGGATTATCCCTTGGCTCTGTCTCCCACCACTCACTGGTCCTCTTCACTGCTTCTATGCTCTTCTGTGTCCAATGTGTCACGAGGTCTGGATATGTCCTTAAAATAGTCCTTAAGCAGCAGCTGCTCAGTTAGAGTTGCATTTTCAGGGCCTGGACACACTTCCACAAAGCACACGTGTGTCACCAGCGGCCAAGGGCCTGGTGAAAATTGCTTCCAAAGTCGTGAGCTGTGGATGCTGCCTCTCCTCCTGCACTTCACTCCACCCTTGTTCTGGCTGGGTGTTGGCATGGAGCTTGGGATGAGGAGGCACCTTCTGAGCAAGCTGCTTCTGTAGCAGCATCACAGGTAAATACTCCAATGGCGCTTCTGTCTGTTTGGAAGCCATCTCCCCGGAGACATGCCTCAATCCGGCTGAGCACCCGGGCGTGGACCCTGTGCAGAAACTGCAGCAGCACCAGAAGCAGTGCAGTGGAGAGAAACCGCTCAGAAGGGGCGTGACCAAGGTCTCCAGGAGGAGAAGTGGCCACGTCCACGAATCAAGGAAGCCCTTCACCTGCTGGGAGGCCAGGCAGGAGCTCTCAGGTAGGTGGCTTGGACTGTCTCCAGCCTGGGTCACTCACAGCAGGGGAAGCCACAAAAGGACAGTGAGTGGATAGAGGGTTTTCACAAGGCTACGAAGCACTGTAAGTGCAGTGGATGTGGGAAAGCCTTCTCCAAAAGTACAGACTTGCTCAGCACTGGAGAGTCCACATCAGAGAAAGGCCTTATGAGTGCTGTGAATGTGGGAAGGCCTTCAGCAGCAAGCCCATTCCTGTCGACACCAGAGAATTCACACTGGACAAAGGCCTTCTGAATGCAGCCAATGTGGAAAGTTCTTCAACCAAAGCTCCAGCCTTAGTGAGCACCAGAGAATCAATACTGGGTCAAAGCCTTATAAATAGGGAATGTGGAAAATTCTTTACCTCCAATTCCAACCTAATTAAACACTGGAGAGTTCACATAGGTGAAAAGCCATATGAATGCAGTGAATGTGGGAAATTCTTTAGCCAAAGCTCTACCCTAATAAAGCATCAAAGAGTTCATATTGGACCAAGGCCTTATAAGTGCACTGAATGTGGGAAGCTTTTCAGTCAAAGCTTTGGCCTGGTTCATGGAGAGTTTACACAGGAGGATGACTATACGGGTGTGGTGAAGGTGGAGAATTCCACCTCAGCACTCAGCACTAAAAAGTTCACAACAGAGAAATACCTCATCAGCACAGGAAATGTGGATTCATCTTCAGTCAGTTTCCTGTCTAACAGAGCACTGGAAACTTCACAACCCGAATAGGCCTTATGAGTGCAGTCAGTGTGGGAAAGGCTTCAGCTGAAGGTCTAACCTCGTTCGGCACCAGAAAGTTCACACTCTCAGGGCCACAAAATGAGACGCAGAGAGAGGGAATGAGCTGTTTCCATGTTTAGTGCAGCAGTGTGCTCAAAGGCTTAGTCAGGGAGTTGGCCGGAAGTTGAACGCTGTACGTCTGAACCTCCATAGTATGAGCGTTCCTTTGAATATCAGGCTCAGGAGAAGCTTTGAAGGAGGAATATTGTACTTTCTAATCTGCTTAGGCCATTGCTAGGTTTGTGTCACTGAGGTTCTGTGGAGGAAGCTGTCGCTGCTGCCTCAGGTCCATCAGTCACCTCTGTGATGTGCTTAGGTACATGTGCTCTCCCATTCCTTGGGGGAATCTGGGGTAGCCCGAGGCATTCATTTTTGTCCTTCTAATTGGCTAGAACATGGACCTAACCCAGTGTTGACCAAGACAACCTAAATGGCTTGCCAGGTTCTAATTCCTTCAGTGACAAATTATCAATCACCTGTGACCCTTGTGATGACTTTCTGGCTCACAAGTCACTGGTCTGTGAACTGCCTGCCTCAGAAACTTAATGTCTAAGCCAAAAAAATGGAAGAAGACAAATAAATGCTCACGGATGGCTCCCATGTTCATGGATTGGGAGAATTAATATTGTTAAAATGTCTGTACTCCCCAAAGAAATTTAGAATCAGTGCAAGTCCTACCAAAATTTCAATTACATTTTTAACAGAAATAGGAAAAAACATCCTTAAATTTGTTTGGAATCAGAAATGACCCTGTGTAACCAAGCAGTTTTGAGCAAAACGAACAAAACTGCATCCAGCAATTCTGATTTAAAAATATATGACAAAGCTTTTATCAAATAGTAAAAAGGTATTATAAGCAAGTAGTAGTATAAAAACAGGTGCATCGACCAGCAAAACAGGATAGAAAGCCTAGTAACAGACTCAATACTTATGTCTGGGCCAGGGATTTAGCTTACCAGCACTGCGCCTGCCTCACAAGCGCAAGGTCCTGAGTTTGATCAGCAGTACCAAAAAAAAAAAATGGCTAATTGATTTTTGATAAAAGTGCCAAAAACACACAACTCATAGAGGACAATCTCTTGAACAAATAGTGTTGGGAAAACTGGCTATCTACAGGAAGAAAAATAAGACTGAATTCTTATGGAACATCATATATAAAAATCAATTCAAAATAGGTAAACATAAGACCTGGAACTGTAAAGCTACTAGAAGAAAACAGCAACAAGCTCCATGAGATTATTCTGGGCAATAGTTTCTTGGATAGGATTCGCAAAGTACAAGAAACAAAAGCAAAAATGAACAAATGAGATTGCATCAGACCAAAAAGCCTCCGTACAGCAAAAGAAACAACTAACAGACTGAAGGGACAACACACGGATTGGGAGAAAAGATGTGGAAACCATTCCTCTGATAAAGGCTAATGTCCAAGTAGCACAAGCAACTCAATATCATGAACACAATAACTTGAATAAAAAATGGACTAAAGATTTGAAAAGACATTTCCCAAAAAGAAAAGATACGAATGGCCAACAGACACATGAAAAGAATGAGTAATCACCAGGGAAATGTAAGTTAAAATTGCAGTAAGGTACACCCTTGTCCCCACTAGAATGGCTGTGGTCAAACCAGTGAATGTTAAGGGCCAGTGACTGCGTCGGGGAGAGGAGCGTGTGCACCCTGTTGGCGGGAATGGAAGAGGGTGTAACCATTTTGGAAAATAGTGTGGAGCTCCCTGAAAAAATGAAAAGGAAGGTTACCATATGACCTCGCATCCTCACCTCTGGGTAGACATCTGGAGGATCTGAAATCAGTGCATTGAGGAAATATCTACTCCAATGTTTATTGCAGCATTATTGACAAAAGCCGAGAGGTAGAAGCAGCCTAGTCTCCACCAGAGGTGCATGGATAAAGAAAATTGCAGATACATACACAATGGAATATTTCACACTGTAAAGCAGGACATTCTGTCATCTACAACAACATTTGGATGAAACTGGAGGATATTATGCTAAGGGAATAATCTAGGTGCCAAAAGACAAGGACTGTATGATGGCACTTACGTGTGGAATCTGAAAGTGAGTTTATCTGTTTCAGGGGAAAAATACTGAAGTGTGAAGTGCAGCGGTCCCTTTTCTTGGTTTGTCACTGGCAAGACTATCCTGGGTCTGGCATCCAGAGTGTTCACCTAAAAGCCTTCTCTACTATGTCCCATGATGACAGTGTATCTGCGTATTCTTGTTTTCTTGTTGATTTGTTAACTGTCCACTACTGAACACTTTCTACTTTCTATGGGAAAAATTCCAGCTGCTTTCAAAATCATTTACCAAAGCAAATAGTTCAGTTCCCTACCCGTGCCCCATGGACGACTTCTCAGTAGGGAAAATAAAAATGCTGACTTTCATTACATATTTGAAAGCCATTTCAAATGACTTCACGGGCAAGTTAATGTTCTCCTTTTTCGAAGTCTTCAAACACATTATTAGCAACACTATGCATGCAAGTTAAAAACATGTGAGTATTAGAAAAGATGATGATAATTTCCTAACACCATTCTGATGATATTATTGGCATTTACAGAAACTTCTTCCAGTATATATTCTCTGTGCTCATTCTTTCCAACTAGTAATAATTGTACACATGGATATACTTGGTCATCCCCTCTACTTTTTATTATACTGGAGAAATTTCACCTCGTTACATATTTTTACAGCCCCTCATGTTTCATAATGGCCCATTACACTGAGCAAATGTACAACTTAATCATTCCAGAATTTTGAAAATTAGATCGTTTCCTCTCTTCTTGGTGGTATTTTCCTGTATTGCTGCATTGAACTTCTTTAAACATAAATATGTTTTCATTATTTAAAATTATTTCTTTTCTCACTTGCTTCAGCAGCACATATGCTAAAATTATTTCTTTAGATCAAAAGGCTGAGTGTAAATAGTGTACATTTGAGACTATTGGTCTATGATATTTGATTAGTTTCTGAAATGGCTTTACCAATTTACACTGCTTACCAGGCATTCATTTCAATAATTTTATGAATTGCCTTTTTTTTTTTTTGCTAATTGATAGATAAAAATGGTAACCTGCCTGAATTTACATTTAAATATTTTTATTTTAATTTTCTTTCCTTATTTTGATCACTTGCTACTGGATTGAGGTTAATTAAATTTTAAAAATTGTTACATAGAGGTAATTTAAAACTGCTTGAAAATCTGCTATGCTTTTCTCTGATTAGTCAGCAGATGGAAACACAGAACCAAGGTCTCGCTGGTCAAGCTGATCTCTTGGGGAGCCGGCGGCTGCCAGGAACAAGGGGGCTTCAGGAAGGGAGGTGAAATTTGAGTTCGGTCGAGCTGGGGTTGCTCTTACACCAAGAGCGATTCCTGCAGCTCCGAGCTGCATATGCAGGCATTAGAGCCCCAGTTTTTCTGCTCAGGAAATTTTGCTCTTAAGGAGAATGATTCGTTTATTTCAGGAAAAACAAATTATTATTGTTTGAGAAAAGATATTTGAGAAGAAAATGTGAGCTGAGGATCTGTGTCCCGATCAATGGGATGCCTTCCTCACAGGCCAGCACAGCTGGAGTTGCTCCTTTCTGATGCATCTGAAGACAGTGGGGCACCTCGGGGTCCTGGACATGGCTTGTGGGCCGGTCTGAGCAGGCTTAGAGGTAGTGAGTGCGAAACATCCCGCACATCCTGCGGAGGTTCCCTGGAGGCTTCTCTCTTGCACCCTGTAGATGTGTGGTTGTTGGTAAGGATTTTGCAGCTTCTGCCTCTCCCTTGAAAGGGGGCTTTGCTTTCTAGGCACTTTTCTTAACTTGCTCTGCAGATTGAAAAGCTTCGGAAGGCCATTCATGAAATTCCAGTAAGGATGAGCATCCTGAGAAATGTTAGCTTTTCCGAAGAGAAAGCAGTGCAATCAAGTGACTCAGAATTGAATTATAAATGATTGGAAGCCATCAAACTTTCCTTATTCAAAAGCACAAGGTGAGGAGGGTTCTTTTGTTTTTGGAAATCAAGTGTTTTCTTGACGGACTGGAGCATAGCAGAAAGACAACAGGGGAAGGGTGGATTCCCTCTCTAGCGCCCTTCTCTCTGCCTGCTCCGGGCTGGACTGAGTGAGATTTTCCATGAGGGGAAGGGCAGGGGCACTCACCAGACCGAACAGGAATGCGCGAAGGCTGGGTGTTCAGTTTGGGACAAAAGGAAAAGGAAAAGACAGACAGGCCTGGCCGACTCCAGGAGCAGGCATGCTCAGGACCAGCCATTTGGGCTGCTGCATGCTCCAATTCCTGCCTCAGCTGGCAGCTTGCACCGGGATAAAGGAGGAGGGAGGAGGGGAAATCCATGCTGGACTGGAGGGCAGTCTCTTCCCAGCTCCCTCCACGGCAGACGGCAGACGGCAGACGGTAGTCGATAAATCAATGCGGAATGTTCGCTGGCTGTAAAATGGGTAGAGAACCAGCTTCACGCTGCTCCGAGGTGGGGTGGCTGGACAGTGGCTGCGGGGAGCCCAGGGGGGCTGGCTGATCCACAGCGACCGCAGCCCCGGCCCTGTGAACTCCGAGTCTGCAATGTGGACCTGCGCTCGATCCTCAGGCGCCTCTCTGCTCTCCCGCCACCCCACTCTCACCTCCTGGCAGGGCTAATGCCCCCTGTGCAGAACAGGCCGCCAGCTGCCCTGGGGCCTGCTGTGCCTGTCAGTGAAGTGAAGGCTACGGGAGGCCGCATTAGAAATTACTAGATGCCCTGGTGGTAGGGAGCATTGATTGGAAAGGGCAGGGATTTTCTGCACAACAGTTGGATTTTTCCCTTTGTAGGAGGGGGTTTAACATCGTTTGCTGGTGGCCACTGCACAGCACTGAGTGTTAACCCTTGCTTTCATGGACTTAACCTGAGGCTGCAGGGTGGGACTCTCAGGTGCACTGAAGCCGATGAGTGCTTGCTGCCTGAGGGCCCTGAGGTGCTGTGCCGGTGGGTGGCTGGCTGCTTCCCTCCAGCTGGGGCTCAGCCCAGGGTGGGCAGCCTCCCTGCATCTCCAGCCTGGGGCAGGCAGGGAGGTGTGTTCTGGTCTTCTCCGTGACCCCACTTAGTTTTCCCCTTGAGGAGATTCCTGACCTCTGGTGACTGAGCCCAAGCCCTCACTTTGGAGTCAGAGTTTGGCCTGGGGTCCCACTTAGATTCCAGAGAGTGGCTGTGTCCAGGACATGCAAGCGCTCATCCTAGATAAATTCTAGATGAAAAATTTAGGCTGACATTTCAATAGCATGCAGAGAGAGTTTACCATCGCCTGACCACAGTTCAACACACAGCTCCTATCCTTTTATCCAATAGATGGTTTTTTATTCCCTATTCTTTGCCGGACATTAGAAAACAGGTGAAGGGATCAAGAATATATGGTCCTGCCTCTGGAGGAATCTGAGATCCTCAAAATGACTGATAAAACTCCTGTTTCTAGTCCGTCTAGAAGTTCTCATTTATTCCTTAAAAATTTTATTTTTGGTCTTTGAGGCTTATCCTCCACTGTTTTGGTTGGACAGAAAAGGTGATGTTTTGGCATGGATGGGAAAGCGGAGGACATACAGGTAAGTAGCTAAATGAGGGTTACGTGGCGAGGGGCTTGTGTGACGATGGGGTTCATTTGTCCCCCACTCACTCTTCCTCCATAGATGTCTGTGTCCCATGCTGTGGCCGGCCAGCTGCTGCCACCCAGGAGCAGGCGTCCTTGAGGGTGCTGGGGGCCCAGCGTTCCAGGGAGGAGGGGGACCTGAGTTAGGTGGGGGCAGTGGTCAGCGAGGGCTTCCAATTGAAAGCTGCAGGAGAAGCTGGACTGAAAGTGTGTAGAAGTGAGGTGGCGCTGGGTCTTTCCTGGCTTTGTCATCCAGCAGCTGAGGGTGACAGCAATACCATCTTCCCAGACCTTGCCTCCATGTCTGTCAGGCTGTTGAGCGTGTAAGAAAGAACCTGCTGGCTCTGAAGCATGGTGACTCCTTTAAGCTGCTGCCTGCACAAAGGCTGTATCCTTTGGAAATTGGATTCTCAGGAGTGGGTGAGTCACATCATTTCCAAAAGAATTTAGAGTCTCAGTGGGCCAGTTGCATGCCAGACATTCAGCTGTGCTATTCACCTCGGCTCTTTATGGTCCCCTGCCACCCCAAAATGATGGCCTGGGTTCTGGTCCGAACAACTCTTAGGGCCATGGAGGGAGATGGAGGTGGATTGGATTGTGCTTGATTCAGATGTGTAGTTTGATTACCACACTTTGATTTCTGGTTTCAAAGAAGAAAAAAAGGCTATAAGCTGCATTTATAAATACTAACAGGTTTCTCCTTTATCAAAAATGAACTCAGTACCTACTGGGTTCCAGGGAATAAGCTTGGTAGGTGAGGGAAGGAATACTGAGCCAGATTTGGATTCTGTCCTTGTGGAGCTACTTAACTGAATGGATAATAAAAAGTATATTTAAAAACTTAAATCATCATATGTGCTTGATCGCCACACACTAAACACAGAGCTGGCCCCGTAAAGCTTACGTTGATGCCAGGCCTGGCTGCCTTGGGCCAACCTGCTGTGCTAGCCTTCTCTGCTTACTTCCTCCATAAGAGGGGCTGATAGCTTGCCTTAGAAGCTGGCGCATGATCGTCTGAGCCCACTCACACTGTGCCTTTCAGTGCTGAGAAGTGGCCTTGGGTTGGGCAGTGAGGAGGAAGAAGGTGCGGAGTACGGATGAGCGAGAAGCCACTGGGAAAATGTCACCTCGGACTCCCATCTGTCTTCCCAGCTTTCTTCTGATTCAAGGGTTGCAAACCCCAAATAACGCCCAGTCGCTGCCAATATTAAAGGTGGTGACCTGGAAACCTGGATCCCGAGACAGGTGACCTCAGGAGGGCCACCCCGGATCTCCCTGGAAGGGTGATAAACTCAGCCTTCGGCAGCAAGTCCCGACTGGCCCCCGAGCCATGGGTGACAGGGAAGCCCTTCCAGTTGCACCTCTGGTTAATCCTAACCCAGCTGGCTTTGTGTGGCTAGGGTTATTCTCCAAGCACAGGCTTTTTGATCGACTTCTCTTTTTAGTTGTGGGTGGTTTAGAAACTGCATGTAGGTCTGTATCTGGGTAACCTGAATGTTGCAGAGGCCCTGGCAAGGACGCTCTTGAATTATCACATACTTACCCAGAAAGTCCTGGCCTCCTGGCTCGGAGGAGCGTCCTTCTGCAGCCACCCCAGGGCAGCCCCGCGCTGCACTGCTCAGCTCCTCTTCTCTTCTCTGGAGCCTGGGGTCAGACCAAGTCCTGAGAGCTGTGAGCCTTGTGAGCCTTGACTCTTTCTCATCCTCTGCCCTCTCACCATGGCATGGACTCTGGCGAGCATCTGATAAGATAATGATGTTACAGACACCGGCAAGGGAGAAGCACTGAGACGGCACCACTTGCGATTAATAATATTGATAACCGGACTAGAACACAGCACCACTGTACGCGACCTGGTCCACATGTTGAAAACTCGAATTATGCCACAAAACAAGTGTTAACATTCAGAAACAAATTCAGTAAAATTTCAGGATACAAAAAAATCAGAATGTAAAACATACAGATATTATTTGTGTTCTAGGCACTAATAAGCCTCCTGAAAAGGAACTTTAAATAATAGTCCTATTTACAGTAGCATCAAAAAGAATAAAATACTCAGGAATAAACTTATCAAGGAGGTGAAGGACTTGTACCTCTAAAACTACAGTATACTGGTGAAGAAAATTAAAGGAGATGGGGACAAATAAATAAATGAAACATCTTGAAACATCTTGTGTTCATGACCAGAAGAATTAAAGTTGCTAAAGTGTCCATATGATGTAAAATGACCTATAGACTCAGGACTATCTTTATCACCAAAACCGCCATGGGACTTTTTACATAAACAGAAAAACAATTTTAAAATTCACATGGAACCGCTAATGCCCCTGAATAGCCAAAGCAGTCTTGACAAAGGAAGCATCCCATGTCCTAATTTAAAAATAAATTACAAGCTATAGTAATTCAAACAGTTTGGTATTGGCATGCAGACAGACGTGATCAAAGAAGCAGCGTAGTGGACACAACAAGATGAGGGATAGACTAATCTTGGACAAGGTGCCAAGAATACACAAAGGGGGAGGACTACTCTGTGCAGGAAGTGGTGTTGGGAAACCAGAGAGTCAAAACCCAGGCAGCAAAAAACCGAAACTGAATTCCTAACTTTACACAGCAATATGAACCCAAAATGGATTAAGGACTTAAATGCAAGACCTGAAACAGTAAAACTCCTGGAAGAAAACACTGAGGGCAACCTTCACATCTTGGTCTAGGGGGTGATTTCATGGACATGACACCCAAAGCATGGGCAATAAAAGCAGAGATAACGAGGGATGGCACCAATGAGGCTCTGAATGTGAAGGAGACAGCCCACACAGTGGAGAGCATGCTGCAGGGCAGGAAAAGCGCTTGCCAACCCTATAGTTGGTAAAAGATGAGTATTCGAAACATGTAAGGAACACATACAACTGAGGAGCAACAAACAAAAGGCAAAGCAGCGCCCCCACAACCCAAAGCCCAAAATGCTGAGAGAGACTGTCACCCAAAGACGCAGGCTGGCCTGGGGGCTGGGGCGGCCCCAACTTCCTGTCGGACAGCGTCTCTGCCAGCCACAGCCTCGTGGCCCTGGCTCTCGTCCTGCGCCCAGGCCCTTGGCATCCGAAGGACAAATTGCCAAAGCCCATAAGCCACCACTACCTGTCTAGCCCTCTTCACCTTTGAGATGCCCTTGTGCTGGCATCTCAGGCGCGTGCTTCCTGTCAGCCTCAGCCCCCTTGAGGGCTGAGCTGCTCCTCAGCAGCAGCCGGACCTCCGAGGCCTGAGCCCGCCCTCCTTTTTCCCCTATCTGTGGGTATTGAGACCCCTCACCTGTCTCCTGTCTCCTCCTCTGTCCGCCTTGCTCTGCTCTCCCCTCCCTGCTTCCTGGGAGATCTGGTTCAGTCACTCGCCCCTCTTTCATCTTCAAACATTCTCCCCCTGGTCCCATCTTTCCTCCCTTCAGGTCCTACAATCCTGCCCAGAAAGTGAGGAAATGAAAGTTACCCCAAACCTGAAGCCCTTGGCTGCCCTTCTGGCTCCACAGACCTCCTCTGGGGACTGCCTTCCCTCTGAAAGATGTTCCTGGTGTTTATTTTCACCTGATTTCCCCAGTGAGCAGGAAGGGTGAGGATGCGCAGTGCTTTTCTTGGGCCCGCAAGCTCCTGGATTCCAGCCGGCCTCGGAGTCCAGCTGCGGCTCCTTCATGGTCTTCCATCTCTCTGTGGCATCTATTTCTGCCCTGGCTGCTCCCACTCGGTCCAGGTCTTGGTCACCTGCAGCCTGGGATTCCGCCCAGCTTTCTGATCAGCTCTGTGGGTGGGAGTCGTGTCACAGCTGGCTGATCCACACAGCAGCCACCTCTGTGAGCCAGACCAGGGCGACTCCCTGCTGAACCTGACGGTCCGACTCCAGCCCTCCGCCTTGCATCAGGTCAGCCCTCTTTCCAGTCTCATTTCCTCTCCAGATCCGAGTCTGC